TTCACCAACTATATGGCGTTCTAAATATTTGTATAAAGAATCTTCTTGCACTGCTTCATGCCTAATTCTTCTAGATAGTCTGTCATCCGTATCATCTCCTTTCCAGGTTCAGCAATTGTTACGTACTCAGCCTCAGTAGATGAAAGAGCAATGCATTTCTAAAGCATGGACATCCAACTCACTGCTGGTCCATCTATAGTCTAGATATATTTAGATGTGCTCTTGCTAGAGTCTACATCTCCACTCAAATCAACATCCACAAAACCTTTTAAAACTACTTTGCCATTGCAATACCAGAGTGAAGTATTGGATGTACCTCTCAGATATCTCAGAAGCCACTTCAAAGCTTCTCAACGTTCTTTCCCTGAATTTACCATGTACTTGCTAACAATTCCCACTGTATGTGTTCAAGTCTAGTGCAGACCAGAGCATACATCAAACTCCCAGCTGCAGAAGAGTACGAAACTGATGTCATGTGCTCACGTTCCTCAACTGTCTTGGGAGATTGCCCCTTTGACAATTTAATATGATTTGCCAAGGGGGTAGTCTTGGGTTTAGCATCATTCATCTTGAATTTGGACAACACCTTCTCAATGTACTACTTTTGGGATAGATTTAATGTGCTAGCAAATCTATCTCGAGAAATCCTCATCCCAAAAATCTATTTTGTTGCACCCAAATCTTTCATCTCAAATACTGAAGACAAGCTTGCCTTCAGGTGGTTTATCTCCCTCATACTTGATCCAACAATCAGTATATCATCCACATACAGGAGTAGAAACACATAAGAATCAATGTATTTCTTGAGGTAACAACACTGGTCCTTTTCACTCCTGTGGAAACCACTCTTGCACATGAAGGAGTCAAACTTCTTGTACCATTGTCTCAATGCTTGTTTTAATCCATACAAGCTCTTATTGAGCTTACACACCATGTGCTCCTTGCTTGGAGCTGCAAACCCTTCTGGCTGTTGCATATAGATCTCCTTATCTAGATTTCCATGTAAAAACACCGTTTTTACATCCATTTTCTCAAGGTGCAAATTCTCCAATGCAACAATACTCAACAGAATTTGGATAGTAGTTAATTTCACAACAAGAGAAAAGATATCATTATAATCAATGCCTTTTCTTTGTGAATATCCTTTAACTACTAACCGAACCTTAAATCTCCTTCTGCCATCTGGTTTAGCCTTAATTCTGAACATCCATTTGTTCAACAAATCTCTCTTTCCTGTAGGTAACTCAGTCAGCACCCATATATTATTCTTTTCAAGTGAGCTCATCTAATCATCCATGGCTTGCTCCCACTTGGTTGAATCTTCCACTTATAGGGCCTCATCAAAGGATTCTGGTTCTCCTTCATCAGTCAGTAACATATAATGTAATGAGGGAGAATATCTATCTGGTGCTCTGACAGTTCTGAATGATCTCCTTAACACCTGCTCAGGTGTAACTTGTTTCACGTCTGTTTCTTTAGCAACAGGATCAGGAGTTTCTTGAGTTTCTGTTGTAATATCACTGGGTGAATTTTCGTGTCACTCAAGTTCACCCCAACTTGCTTTGTAGTCTCAGAGTTTATCTTCTCTTTATCCTTGTACATGACATTTTCATCAAAGGTCACATTGCAGTGTCTTAGAATTTTCCTATTCTTATCATCCCAAAACCTGTACCCGAACATGTCAGAGCCATAGCCTATAAAGTAGCATTTCACAGCCTTAGCATCAAGCTTATCTCTCTTCTCTGGATCAACATGAACATACGCAGTACAACCAAAAGTTTTCAAGTGAGAGTACTTGAGTTCTTTTCCTGTCCATACTTCTTCTGGAAATTTGAACTTCAAGGGTACTGACGACCCTCTATTAGTTAAATATGCTGCTGTGTTCACAGCATTAGCCCAGAATGTCTTTGGTAGTCCAGAATGAATTCTCATGCTTCTTGCTCGCTCATTCAATGTTCTGTTCATCCTTCCTGCAATACCATTTTGTCTTTCCTTACTGGAAATTGTTCTTATTAATCTAATTCCCTCAGCTGCACGAAATGTTTTAAACTCTGATTTGTTGTACTCTTCTCCATTGCCAGACCTCAAACATTTGATTTTCAAGCCAGTCTGATTTTCAACTTCAGCTTTCCACTTCTTGAAGGTGACTAACACATCTGACTTGTGTTTCAGAAAGTAAACCCATACCTTCTTGCTGAAGTCATTTGAAGGTGACGTAGTACCTTGATCCACCGATCCACCAAGGGATAAAACTAGAGATGGTCTCCAAACGTCTATATGGACCATTTCCAACTGCACTTTCTTCTGTTCTTTAGCAGCCTTTGTGGAACTAACTCGTTTCTATTTGCCCATAACACAGCTCTCACAAAGACTCATATCAATAGATTTTAAGCCTTCTAAATCTCCTTTCGCAGTTAGCATCTTCATTCCTTTGACACTTATATTTCCAAGTCTATTGTGTCATAGACTTGAATTGGAAGCACTCTCAGCAGTAGCAGCAGTCATGTTTATACATTCTACAGTAGAGTATAAGGTTCCGAATTTTGTGGCACGTGCAACAACTATGGCACCCTTTACAATCTTCCATGAACTCTTTCCAAACTCTACTGCATAGCCTGTACTATCCAACTGATCAACAGAGATTAGGTTCTTCTTGATACTAGGAATGCATCTGACATCTTGTAAGGTTCATTGATTTCCTGCTAGAGTTTGTATGGAGACATCTCCCTTCCCTTCAATCTCCAAGGTTTTGTTGTCAGCAAGATACACCTTCCCGAAATTTCAAATCAGAAAATTTCGAAACAATTCCTTACTTGGAGATGAATGGAACGATGCACCTGAATCCAAAATCCAGGATTCAGCTGGGTTGTCCACACTAAGGATTAAAGCGTCCTCAGTATCTTCTGTTGTATATATAGAATCATCATCATCTTCAGATTTTTATTCTGCTTCTTCTTTAGTTTTGTACAATCTGACCGAAAATATCCTTTTCCTCTACAGCTCCTACACGTTACGTTGGGTTTGTTTGGAGACTTTCCCTGGTTCTTTGATTTTGATCACCCGTGTTTGTTTGAGCTCTTTGATTTATTTCTTCCCCTTCCATCAACAGTGAAAGCATTGTCTGATGAATCTTCAATTTCTCGTTTGTGAATACTTTCGCTGTTGAGAACTACATCTCGAATTTCGTCAAACTTCAGTTTATCAGATCCTCGGGAGCTGTTGATTACGGCAACAACAGTATCCCATGACTCGGGTAAAGATGACATCAAAATCAACGCTTTAATTTCATCCTCGAAATTAATTTCCACCGAACTCAGTTGACTTATGATCATATTAAATTCATTTATATGATCAGAAACAAATCCACCTTCAGACATCTGTAGATTGAACAATCTTTGAATCAAATACACCTTGTTCATAGCCAATGGTTTTTCATACATATTCGACAGCGCCTTCAACAGATCTGACGTTGCTTTCTCGTTAATGATGTTGAACGCCACATTTCTGGATAGCGTCAACCGGATCAACCCTAAGGCTTTTCGATCCTTGAGCTTCCACTGTTTCGTGGTCATGGTATCCAACTTCACCCCCAACAGGGGTTCATGAAGATCTTTCTAGTACAGATAATCTTCAATTTGCATCTTTCAGAAACCGAAATCGGATCTATCGAACTTCTCAATTCCAATCTTTGAACTTTTCATCTTCACAGATCGTGGTGAATTTCGCCTAGCTCTGATACTAGTTGTTAGGATCGTACAACAATGCACACACTCGATCTAGATGAACACAAAGAAATAGGAGAGAAAATGCAAGGAGAACTTTGGCTAAATGATTTGTATTGATGAGTATGCATAAGAGAGAATACAGAGAATAGAATAGAATGTACATCGTCAAAGCTTTACCTAAGGGACATATATATAGTTCCGTTTACTATATATAGCTTTACTAGATTTAACCATCTACCATATATAGCTTTACCATAACAGATATAGCTTTACTATAACCGTTGACCAAGCTATAAATAAGTAGCAGGCTCCATAACCTAACACTTGGGCATTCATGTTCAATCGTCTGCAACACAATCGATTTGCCTCTACACTAGGCCTCAACTCGACTTTGCCTTTGCTCGATGGCAAGGTATCTCGTGTGCAACGTCGTATCCAACATCATCTTGGTTCCCAACTAACATAATCCATATGTCTTTACACCATCCCAAATCACAGGGTGTCACCGGCCATCGCATCTCACTCGGTCATGCCATCGAGAACAAACACACTTGTCATTTATAACATTGAGACATCCCGAACATCCATCCATTCGGATTTTATCGAGGCATTAGCTCTCTCGTGCCTATGTCGTGTCACCTACGGACTTCGTACCGGATTGCAGGTGCATAATTCAACCTCTGACACTTGGGCTATGGTGCAATACCGACACACCTGTGCAGCCCGGTACTTGCTTAATGTGGCACATGGTAGCTTGCTTAATGTGGCACATGGCCCAAGAGTGGTGGAGAGTTGATACTATGCCTCCCCATAAGGTATATGTCTAAGCATTTCCTATCTAGTAGATGTAAATATGATTTTTGGGGAAATGATCATATGGTGTCATGGAGAGTTCATTCGATGTCCGATTGACACCAAATTTAGAGGGCTTCCATCTTTACACTCTTGTCTACTTGTTGCCACAATCTTGCTTTATCACTTCTTAACTTCAATGTTCAACGTCCTCTTTGGTCACATCATGACACTCTTCTAGGCCCTCGTGTTGCTGGATGGACACCACTTGAGGGTCACCGTTATGCTTGTCTCGACATGAGGGTCATAACCTACCCTCTTCGTAATATAGTTGTGGCATTCTCCGCCACTTAAAGTTGTCACCATCCGCGATGTCTTTCTCGAGGCTCCATGGATTGTGACACCGAGCTCCGACCTAGGTGATTAAATTGAATTTAGATCTATAGTCCCAAATGTGCTCATCAATTGGAGCTCATTTGATTTTGACCTATAATTCATATTTCGAAAGGACGCCGGCACTGCATTTGTGGATGAGGAGGGTGTCTATCTCTGCTTCTACAGCTGTCTGAACCATCGAAGCTCTTCAACAAGCAGCCATGGCGTCCTGCAGAATCGCAGTCCGACCTTCACTCTTTCTACTTGGAAGCTGCAGTTCCCGAACAACTCAACTAATTCTCCCTTCTGTTTCCTTCCCCTCACCACCGCTTTCTTCCTACTCTCCATTCTTCACCGCCGTCTCAAACCATTGTACTCTTCTCTCACTTCCTCTCTTTCTCGCTCTCGGAGGCCATACAATTTCTTTTGCATTTCTTTCTTAAATCTGTTCTTGACTTTCCTTCTGTTTTGATTGCTTTATAGCTTCAAGAAACAACCCTAAGGCAGTTTTTACAAGATGTTTTTCCTCGACTTCGGCCGCCGCATCTTCAGTAGAAGTAACAGACGCTGTAGGAAGTGACCTAGAACCGCCGGAGATTCATACACAAGACACGGTGGAGCACCTTCTCACACACTCCGATGACGTTGCCAGGTTGATGAAGATGGAGCGGAGGCCGATTAATTTAGATGGAGCTGAATATCCGCACCAAGGGCGATGGTTTCCGTACCTGGATAAGTTTAGCTGTGAAAATTCTTGGTTGAATAGTGGTGAGGTTTTGGACGCCTTGGATCCTCTCATATTGGACTCGAGGAAAGAGAGGTTCAAGAACGTCGTGCGACACAGGAGCTATTCAGTTTGTTTGGTGGTAGAGGGTTTGAGTGATTTCGGCAACGTCTCGGCGGCGTTTCGATCTGCCGATGCACTTGGATTTCAGTCGGTTCATGTGGTCTCTTGCGACGCTTCCAAAAGGTGCAAGAATGATTGAGGTGAAATTGTTTTCGAATACATTTGCCTTTTCCCCCTTGATTTTCCCAATGGAAAATTGTTTGGTTCAGGAATTCGACAGCTGCTTCTAGTCCATTGCGCCGGCGGAATTTCATTCCTCTACATAGTGTGGTTTTACTTCGTTGTTCAATGGAGCACTTGAATTCAATCAATTAGTCAATTTGCATATCTGGTTTTATATGATTAGGAGGTTAAATTGATGAAAATGCATTTGATTTCCATGGTAATTGTTAGATATGGGTGACAATGTGACACATTCTACTTGCTAATAATGACAGAAATTTCCATTGAATACATTTCATTCATGAGTCATAATCTTTCATTCCATGTTTCTTCTTCTGAGATTATTGCAATTTCAATGCAGGTACAGAGAGAATCGTCATGTTAGCATGGGAGCAGAGAAATGGTTGGACATTGAACTTTGGAACTCAACCCCAGAATGTTTTAGAATTCTGAAATCTCGGGGTTATAGAATAGTATCGACGCATCTTGGATCGAATGCGGTATTGATTCATTTTGTAAACTTTCTCCCTTCCACAATGTCCCATGAAGTAGCTTTACATTGAAATCAATTCTGTTCTTATATCGATTGTCTTATGCCAATTTTATTATTTTTCAACCTTTTTGAGCTTATCCTGACAGCTGAGTTGTGATTGTCCTGTTTTAGGTTTCTGTTTATGATATGGATTGGTCGTGTCCAACTGCAATTGTGGTTGGGAATGAAAGTAGGTAATTATCTTCTTTGCTTCAATAATACCGAGTTTGATCAAAGTTTTAGTACACTTTTTTAAATCTCTGCTAGCTGGGAGATATCTGTTATATTTAGCAAACCATAACTTAGTCCATGTTTAATAAACTGGCCTACATTTTTGTTGTCCAGCAATTCTAATCCGCTCATCCTTTGATTAGTGAGTTTCGAGTTGTGAATATTGTCCGAATCAGGAGAAATTATACTTGTAGCTAGTTATGATATTTACAATTTATGTTAGTATCTGAGGTTTAGTTCTCTTCGGTCTCAGGGGAATAAGTGATGAAGCCCTGGAGCTATCAGATTTGCATTGCACTATTCCTATGAATGGGATGGTAGATTCCTTCAACGTATCAGTTGCTGCTGGCATCCTCATGCACCATGCTGTTTGCGATCGAACATCTCGACTGGTAACTCTAAAGTCATGTTTGATGTTTTGAATTCGTTTACGCCTAAGTGGTAGTTCAACTAGTTGGGGCGCTACCAGGGGTGTTGTCTGGAAATATGTCGATTCGAGTCTTCCGGTGGGTTCGACACAAAGGATGTCAAAATGGACATATACTGTTTCTAGTACTGAATTGATGGTATGTTCTTTATCAAACTTTTCAGGGCTGCCATGGAGATCTCACATCAATAGAAAGGCAAATTCTACTGGCGGAGTTCTCACTACGGCATAACAAGAACGCAATCAGCGTTGCTCACGAGTATGCGAAGAGGAAGAGTAGTAGCACGAGCTCGGGTTTGGAGGTGTTGCTGTAGAATGGCAAGAGTGGTCTCTTGATGTGTGTAGCAAATGAGTATGAGAAGCAGAAACACACAGAAGAGCCCCCTTCAAAGTTGATCAAAACAGGTAGGCCTGGGATTAAATGGGGATCAGAAAATTTGGAAGCAGAAGAACAATTTCCCCATCTGAAGCATTTTTATCAGCCTTCTTCTTTCTGTGGTAAGCTTCAGCATTCAATTCACATGGCTCTATAATGTTTTACTGTGATTCTGTAATTGACTTGGAGAAACTTTTTAACTTAGTTGTTCATATCAGTTTTTCTTTTCTAATGCTCAAAGATGTCTGTGAAACGCAGTGTCTGGTAATCGAAAAATATGATGCTGAGTTATCTGAAATGCTAAAAGTGAAAATGTAAAAGAGATGGTAATGTGTGGATGATATTATGGATGTTCATATATGTTTCTACTCCTAAGTATTCACGATCACGAGGTACAATCGTTTGTATGTTATCGTTATTTTAAAACACTTCAGCACACGATCTTTTTTTTTTTATTATTATTATTATCTTTTATAGGTGTTGCCCTATATCGAGAATCAATCATCCAATAAAGTTTTTCAAATAATTAACATGAAGATGGTTCATAAAATGTCGATTTTTCGAGTATTGATTGGAGACGATACTTAAAAACAAGGCTTTTGTAATTTAAAAATAAAAAAGATGATTTGAAAATAGTAAACAATACTCAGTGATACCCTTTTAAAATTCATTGGGAAAAGAAAATAAAAATCATACAACTAAACAAAATAGTCCATACTAACACACTATTATTTGAAAATAAAAATCGGNATTGGACATGCATACATACAAATTTATTTTTCAGTTAAATATATAAGTAATAAATGAAAATTGAAATATTTATTTTTGGTTTTTAAAATTAAAAGTTATTAGTTTTAGTGTGGAATTAATTTTTCTAGAAATTTACTAAAAATGAAAAAAAAAAAAAAAAGAAAAAAAAAAGATATATTTGTGTGTATGATGTGAAAAAATAAAAAAAAAAATAACCTTTGTAATAAGTTCTACCTTTAAAAATTAAAACTAAATCAAAATAAATTTTGAAAACGCACTTTGTGTGAGTTCAACTCTAGAATTATAAACGAACCGATGAGTTTTTAAGATGACATGGATCAAACTAAACATGAGTCTATGTTCCTTTGGTCCCACGTGAATCCGACACATTTGATACTATATACAAGATTTTTTTTTTTTTTTTTTTAAGAAAAAAACAAGTAGGTAAATTGAAATAATAAAAAGAATCTAAATTTTATGTTGTTCAAATGGTAGAAATTCTATAAAACAATTTTTTTTTTTTTTTTTATATATGTTTTCTTTGAATCTAGATTTTGTAATTTAAATTTTAAAAAATGAAGAATTATATTAACAAAAGTTTAAAAATCAATGAATATAGTACTTTATTTTTAAACTCAAATTGTTTTTGTTAAATTTATATATGTTTAATATTGTTTATTCTAAATTATATTATAGAATAATAATTATACCAATTTTATAACAAAAATATGTTTGAAAATTAATTAATAATGGTTATATAAACCTAATATTTAATTTTATAACTACAAGTTAGTAACATTGTAGTCAAACAATCTCAATATTTCAACCAAATGACCAAATAGAAACGAAAACTTCAAGGAGTAGAAACTGAAAGGATATTTTATTTTTCCTTGAATAAAAGAATTCTTACAAATTATATAGATCTCGTATATAGTTTAACATATATAAATATTTGAAGGAGGCATGAACTACCTTTTTAAATACACCTCCAACAACAAAGTTGCCGACCTGACCTATCTGCCAACTGGTTAATAAATGGCTAGCTTTTATGTTCTAGTTCACTTCAATAGGTATGATATTTAGTTGTCAAAGAAAATGGTGCGATATTAAATCTTCAATAGATAGCCACTAAAGAAAGCTATGCAACAAGTCGAAAATAAAAAAATAACGCTCACCATTCAGTTTCTAATAACCAAATACATCGATCATAGTACCTACATCTCCTGTCTTTGGTTGGTTAATAGAGTTACGAAATGAAATTGCAAACTTATGATAGCCAAAACACAAACCCATTTTTTCATTTCAGGTGATAGATTCATGTTTGTACACATCAATTTTGAGAGAGAGAGAAAGCATCTACACAACAGAATGTTTCTGAGATAAAAATCAATGTATAGGTGGGAAATGGTTAAAAGTGGAATCCCACATCGAAACAAATCAAGAAATGTACCTTTCTTGCTGTTCTTGAAGAAGCCTTGCCGAAGACTTGGCGTCCAGATAGAGCGCACAAACTTCTTTGAGATCTCCCTGTGAGTGAGAAACAATCAAAACATAGAGCCTACAAATGAATCTCCAATAAAATGCCACATTCAAGTAAATACCTTGCATATGCTTTCACGACCATTCATTTTCGCCACGACGCTAGCAGGCGATAGCAACTGAACCGCGTGTCTACATAACAACCAAAACACTTCAGCCAAGTAAGTTCATGAACGTTCAACAATAACTAGCATGTATTATCGACCAGAGGTTATTGATAGCATCGACCAATTGTATATGAAAATTACTTATTTAAAAAACACTCCAAACACAAATCTATCATTATGGTACCTTAAAGATGTTCTCTGGCCAATCTCCCCAAGGAAAGCTAAACTTTCTTCATCTACAACCAATTCTTCCACCTGTGCCCGAATGGCTAATATCTTGACAAAGTAACAATGATAGCATAATCAGCAGTTTGGCACCTTCACAAAAAGTATTAAGATTTAAATTTCCACAAAAGAATGCAAGTCGACCTGAATCATCTCAGCAGGGCCATACGTTTGTGTTCGGATGATCACCAATCGGTCTAACAAGTCAACAGGTATTCCATGAGGGCTATTCATATCAGTCCCTCTGAAAAAATAACGTTTATTTTACGGTCCAAAAGATGTAGTCTAAGAAGCATGAATATGGAGACAAAACATGAATGCGTACATGACCAGACAAGGTGATACGTCGATTTCTACAAAAATTAGAAAACGGACACATTGGGGATAGGCTTTTTTTAGAATATGTAAATTTCACATAAGAATAATAAATCTACACCCCATATAAAAGTTGATTGTTTTCAACATTCTTAGTAGCAAATATGTTCTTCTCCGAGGCAAGATTCAGGGCATGCACTACACGTGGTGTCTATACAATCGTCGAAAGTTGTATTTCGATAATTAGCGTTGCACCTTCGCAATTAAGAAAATTAACTGTTATCACTTCAATCACATTTTCATGATCGACTTCAACCCATTTCTTCTAGAAACATTGGTCTACCTTCAGAAGTTTCCATAAAGTTAATCAAAGGTCTCCTTTGTGAGCTCCATCCATCATCACAATGCTCATCCCCTTCATAAATGATTCACTTGTAATCGATACAATAATCTCTTCTTTTTGGAGAAGACTTGTCATAACAAATTACATCCAGGAGGCATAAAAACCGACAACATATGGTTCGAAACATAAGTAAAGGTGCCTATAAAATATGGATTTCTTGCCAAATGAAAGGGCAAGTCAGCAGAATAAAACATTCAAGCAACAAAGGCATGTAATTGGTCTTGTAATTATATGTTTGGTCTCATATTACTGGATTGGAACCCTTTTCTTTAATCGGGTTACTTTCGTGGGCTTGATTTTAACGATGTCATTGTATTCTTTCATTTTTTTTTTTTTTTTCTCAATGGAAGCTCGTTTTTTCTAAAAAATACATCTCAAGCATGCAAAAGGTGCAAGAATGTGCAACTTGAAATACAGGATCAACTAAGGGCAAAGACTCATACCGTACATTGCAGATTCCTCTGTTTGTAGCAAAGATCACTATTGGGGAGAGTGAGCTCTCTAAAGCTCGATTTAAGTACGAAAAGCACTCCATATCCAGCATATGCACCTGGAAACTTTACTTACCTCATAAGTTTGAGTACAGAGAATGTCGAGAGAGCTTAAAGAGAAGAAATAACCTCATCAACGAATAGAACTCCCGGGACAAGTTCTGCTATACCTTCGTCAATATATCGGTTAACCACCTGTCGGTAAAATAAACTCTACCAAGAATTATACTTCTATATCTTGTGTTTAAAAATTTCATACTACTGAAAATAGAATAAACCCTCCAGTGTTATTGAAAAATCTCATGAAACTTTGGAACAGTACTGGAAGTATTTTCTCGTCGAGAATATAAAAATAAATCAAAGAAATTAAGAACTCATGTCCCATTCAAAGTATAATAATACAGTCCACGATTCAGGATATCACCAAGAACGTAACTCAAAAAAAAAAAAAAGATCTTTCAAACACAAAGAGCTACCTTATTTACTTCTTGCCGCAACTTGTCTGTGATTTCCGTCTTCCTTGGCTTCATCATCTGACCCATTAGAGATAGTATATCTTGTCCACCTTGAGGCCGAGCATTGGCAGCATCTAGATCATGTAGAGTCACATCCTGTCAGGTAGAAAAGGAAAATGCAATAAAATTAATACAAAATTATGAGAGAGCAATAGTATGCCATATGTTGAGATTATTAGTAGGATATTGATAAGGGCATAGTGGTAATTAGTTAAGGTGACTTGGTTTTAGATAAGGGAGTTGGGGGTCGTAGAAGGGGGGAATGATTTTGGGTCTTTGTGAGAGTATTAGTAAGGGATATGTTGGGAATATTAGTAAGATATTACTTAGGGCATAGTGTAAATGGTTAAGGGTGACTTGGTACGGGAGTTATGGAACTTAGAAGGGGAAATGATTTTGAGTATTTTTCCGTGTGGGACTTTGGACATAGCCCTCTCAAACGGTTATTGCAATTGTAAATTTTTTTTCTCGACATTGCAATATAGTGTATACTTATAATTGTTACCAGAATCTTAACAAATTAATAGTCTACATATCTCCAAATTTAAGAATGTTAAGCAAGAAAGATTCAAAAACTTGATTTTGCTATTAAAAACACGCATACACATGAATGCATTGTGAGATCCCACATCAATTGGGGAGAAGAATGAAGCATTCTTTATAAGGATGTGGAAACCTCTCCCTAACAAACGCGTTTTAAAAACCTTGAGGGAAGCCCCAAAGGAAAGCCCAAAGAAGACAATATTTGCTAGCGGTGGACTTGGGTTGTTACAAATGGTATTAGAGCCAGACATCGGACGATGTGCTTGCAAGGAGGCTGAGTCCCGAAAGAGAGTGGACACGAGTCAGTGTGCCAGCAACGACCCTAGGCCCCGAAGGGGGGGTGG